CCAGTTTTTTTGTGGTAAAATTAGGTGCCTCAGCTTATATTCGGGTCGGCTTATACTCGAGTATATACGGTAAGTAAGTTTGATTAAAAGCAGGCTCTGCAATGCCCAGCAGTTTGACCTCAAGCTCAGGGGGGAAATTGCTTCCTAAATCTAGGAAGGAAGGTTGCTTCTCCCTTTCAAGGTGTCCCAAAGGGATGGGCTCTCCATCACTCTACCCAAGCTGCTGGACACGTTGGATTCCTCTGCCGGGATCCCTATCTCCCAACCGAAGTGATGCCATGCCTGAGCCTACCTGGGCACGCGGTCCTTCTGGATCCCGGCAGGTGGCAAAAATCCTTTCCGGGCCGTTGCTTTTCGCAGCCAGCTGCCTGACCATCTCCAGCCCAATGCCCCGATTGGACCCCGTCACCAGGACGCAGCGTGCCTTCAATGCAGCCATCGCTCCCATGTCCCTGCCTCCAATGGGCAAGGCTCTGTGCCAGCCTCAGTTCCAAACTCCTCCACCCAGACTTACATAACTAGCCTGAATGGCTCAGGTTTCAGCTTCGAGGGCCTTGGGCTGGCAACAGACCAATGCACACAGGGCCAGAGATAGCAACGTGCAAGGTCTTTTTGTCACCGATCCTCTCCATTTCTGTGCCTGATGACCGTGGAGGAGTCACAGAGCTCCGGAGGGAGAAACATCTCTTCCATCCCAAAAGTGTCCGGTCCAATCCCTAAGAATACTCTATGTCAAAAATAAAAAAAATCCTGATTAGAAAGTATTATTTTCTGGGTTGTTGTAGGTTTTTCCGGGCTATATAGCCATGGTCTAGAGGCATTCTCTCCTGATGTTTCACCTGCATCTATGGCAAGCATCTTCAGACCCTCACTACTTCTGAGGATGCTTGCCATAGATGCAGGCAAAATGTCAGGAGAGAATGCCTCTAGACCATGGCCATATAGCCCGAAAAAACCTACAACAACAACCCAGTGATTCCAGCCATGAAAGCCTTCGACAATACAGTATTATTTTCTGTTTATCTGTGTGGTTCTTACTTTGAAAGTCGTTGTTTGTGGCTGAAACTTCAGGTTTGTAGCTACCACAAACTAGGTTGAAACTTTACAAGATATTCATTGGAAAACTATAACAAAATACGTTACAAGATGTCCTGCCAAAACAAAGTTTTCGCAGTTTAAGAAAATGTTTCCATGGTTGTTTTTTTTAATGATAGAACCATTTGTCATTTGGGAGTTGTAGTTGCTGGGATTTATAGTTCACCTCCAATCCAAGAGCATTCTGAACTCCACCAATGATGGAACTGAACCAAACTTGGCACACAGAACTCCCATGATCAACAGAAAACACTAGAAGGATTTGGTGGGTATTGACCTTGAGTTTGGGAGTTGTAGTTCACCTACATCCAGAGAGCACTGTGGACTGTTCCACATGTTGTGGTGACCCCCAACCATAACATTATTTTCGTTGCTGGACCAAATTTGGCACAATTACCCGATATGCCCAAATTTGAATACTGGTGGGGTTGGGGTGGGGGGAACAAGGGGACTAATTTTGTCATTCAGGAGTTGTAGTTGCTGGGATTTATAGTTCACCTCCAATCAAAGAGCATTCTGAACTCCACCAATGATGGAATTGAACCAAACTTGGCACACAGAACTCCCATGACCAACAGAAAACAGTAGAAGGGTTTGGTGGGCATTGACCTTAAGTTTTGGAGTTGTAGTTCACCTACATCCAGAAAGCACTGTGAACTCATACAATGATGGATCTGGTCCAAACTTGGCATAAATACTCAATATGCTCAAATGTGAACACAGGTGGAGTTCGGGGAAAATAGAACTTGAGTTGTAGTTGGGATTTATAGTTCACCTCGAATCAAAGAGCATACTGAACTCCCCCAATGATGGAATTGAACCAATCTTGGCACACAGAACAGCTACAACCAAGAGAAAATACTGGAAGGGTTTGGTGGGCATTGACCTTGAGTTTGGGAGTTGTAGTTCACATGCATCCAGAGAGCACTGTGGACTTGAACAATGATGGATATGATCCAAACTTGGCATGAATACTCAATATGCCCAAGTGTGAACACAGGTGGAGTTTGGGAAAAATAGACCTTGAGTTGTAGTTGGGATTTATAGTTGTCCTCCAATCAAAGAGCAATCTGAACCCCACCAATGAAAGGATTGGGCCAAACTTCCCACACAAAACCCCCATGCCCAAAAGAAAATACTGTGGTTTCCGATGGTCTTTGGCAACCCCTCTGACACCCCTCACAATCCCCAGGCCCAGGGGTCCTGACCCCCAGGTTAAGAAATGCTGATCTAGTGCCTATAAATCCCAGCAACTACAACTCCAAAATAACAAAATCAATACTGCCCCAACCTCACCAGTATTCAAATTTGGTCAATGCCCACCAAACCCTTCCAGTATTTTCTGTTGGTCATGGAAGTTCTGTGTGCCAAGTTTGGTTCAATTCCATCGTTGGTAGAGTTCAGAATGCTCTTGGATTGCAGGTGAACTATAAATCCCAGCAACTACAACTCCAAAATGACAAAATGCATCCTGCATATCAGATATTTACATGAGCAAAATGACAGTTATGAAATAGCAACGAAAATAATGGTTGGGGGTCACCACCACATTTACATGGTGATTCATAACAGGAGCAAAATGACAGTTGTGAAGTAGGAACGAAAAATATGTTATGGTTGGGGGTCATCACAACTGTATGAAGGGGTCGTGGCGTGAGGAAGGTTGAGAACCACTACATTAGAACTCTCCATCAGAGAACCCTAGACACATGAAAGCGTTTCAAGTCACAGAGACCCATAAAATAAAACCACGGCAGTGAAAAGTGGGACCAAAGTGCTGTAATTGCGTGACACGAGAAAGGCCAAGCAGAGAAGTGTCCGTGGAGAAAGAAATAAAACACGGAAGACATAATCTGCGGGGAGCTGTCCAACCCTTTGCCTCTCTTTGCCACACCCGTGCAACCCTGAACAAAGGGCAACGGAGAGCGAGCATCGTGCAATAAAGGCTACCTTTGTCTTGTTCTCTTTCCCTTCCTTCCGCGGTCACTTTATCATTTTCTTTCTTATTGTTACTGTGGGAGGGGATCATAAAAGCAAATGTTCTCCCACCCTTCTTGATCTCTCTCCCTTCAGAATCCTCTAACTCCGCTGTTTCGCTCTTTGTTCACTGGCTTTTGCAACAATTTGCAAATGCTTCTTATCTCTACGTTCTGTTCCCTCTGTGTTTGTTTGTGTCCTTTTCTGGCCTGAATATTTCTGTTCCTCCTCTTTCCCACAACTCTTGGTTTTCGTTGAATTGAGAGTTGAAAGGGGCCACAAGTGCCATCCAAACAAACCTCAGTTTTGCTGAAGTTGTCCCCGTGGACATGGAAATAAATGTTCTAAAACTTATTACCTTGCAAACATTTGATTCTGTTGAAGCTAACAACCCAATGTATGTCCTTCATGTAAAAGGACTTTGATTTAAGTGAATTATAAATCCCAGTAACTACAACTCCCAAATGTCAAGGTCTATTTCCCCAAACCCCATCTGTGTTCATATTTGAGCATATGGAATATTCGTGCCAAGTTTGGTCCAGATCCATCATTGTTTGAGTCCACAGTGCTCTCTGGATGTAGGTGAACTACAACTCCCAAACTCAAGGTCAATGCCCACCAATCCCTTCTACTGTTTTCTGTTGTTCTTGGAAGTCCTGTGTGCCAAGTTTGGTTCAGTTCCATCATTGGTGGAATTCAGAATGCCTTTTGATTGTAGTTGAACTATAAATCCCAGCAACTACACCTCCCAAATAACACAATCAATTTTTGAGTGATGGCCACTCATTGGGATGTTAGGCGTATTCTGTCCAAATTTGGTGTCAATTCGTCCAGTGGTTTTTGAGTTAGGTTAATCCCACAAACAAACATTACATTTTTATTTATATAGATTTGTTGGTTCTTCCCTTTTTAGTTTTAATTGTTCTAAGTGATGGAAATGTCCTCAGGAATGAGCCACAGTTTCCTTCGTTTCCTTCTTGGGAGGAGATCAATGACCAATCTTGATAAAACAGTGAAGAGCAGAGACATCACCCTGGCCACCAAGATCTGCATAGTTAAAGCCATGGTGTTCCCCGTAGCAACCTATGGATGCAAGATCTGGACCACAAGGAAGGCTGACCTGTGGTGCTGGAGGACAATTTGGAGAGTGCCTTGGACCTTGAGAAGATCAACTAGTCCATACTCCAGGAAATAAAGCCCAACTGGTCACTGGATACAAAGATGAAGTCCTTTGGCCACATCATGAGAAGACTGGGGAGAGCTTGGAGAAGAGAATGATGCTGGGGAAAATGGAAGGAAAAAGGGCCGACCAAGGGCAAGGTGGGTGGATGGCATCCTTGAAATGACTGGCTTGACTCTGAAGGAGCTGCAAGTGGCCACAGCCAACAGGGAGCTCTGGCCTGGGATGGTCCATGAGGTCACCGAGAGTTGGAAGCAACTGAACAAATAAACAACACGATCCACCATTTAGCCTCTATTTTCTTCACTACTAGAGTCAGACATACCCATACTAATCAATTGCTAAATTGCATGTCTTTGCAGATCATAGAGTTGGAAGAGACCAGGTGGGCCATCCAGTCCAACCCCATTCTGCCAAGAAGCAGGAAAATTGCATTCAAGGCACCCCCAACAGATAGCCATCCAACCTCTGTTTAAAAGCCTCCAAAGAATGAGCTTCCACCACACTCCAGGGAAGAGAGTTCCACTGCTGAACAGCTCTCACAGTCAGGAAGTTCTTCCTCATGTTCAGATGGAATCTCCTTTCTTGTAGTTTGAAGCCATTGCTCCTAGTCTCCAGGGCAGCAGAAAGGAAGCCTCCTCCCTGTGATTTCCTCTCACATATTTATATATGGCTCTCATATCTCCTCTCAGCCTTCTCTTCTGCAGGCTAAACATGAGCAGCTCTTTAAGCCACTCCTCATAGGGCGTGTTCTCCAGACACTTTGATCATTTGAGTCGCCCTCCTCTGGACAGATTCCAGCTTATCGATATTTCTCTTCAATTGTGATGCCCAGAACTGGACATAGTGTGATTCCAGGTGTGGCCTAACCAAGCAGAATAGAGCATGGGAAGCATGACTTCCCTGGATCTAGATACTAGGCTCCTCTTGATGCAGGCCAACATCCCATTGGCTTTTTTTTTTTACCACCGCATGACATTCCTGGCTAATGTTCGCTTTCCACCCCACGAGGACTCCAAGATCATTTTCACACGCCCTGCTCTAAAGCCAGGCATCACCTCCCATTCTGTCTCTTTGCATTTCTTTTTTCCTGCCTAAGTGGAGTATCTTGCATTTGTCCCTGTTGAACTTCATTTTGTTAGTTTTGGCCCATCATCTCTCTAATCTGTCAAGATCCCTTTGAATCCTGCTCCTGTCCTCTGGAGTCTTGGCTGTCCCTCCCAGTTTGGTGTCATCTGCAAACTCGATGATCCTGCCTTCTCGCCCTTCATC